GGAGGTATACTCTCTCAGATTACATTTAAGCTTGGAGGGCAAGAAAGGAGCTTAATGCAACTTCTTGAGACGCCTAAGCATCTGATTGGGACTCAACTTGATATTGTCAGTAAGTGGGCTGGGCATTTACCTAATGAAATTGCTAAAGGAACGGGTCATCTTTTAGGGAGAACGCCAGTAGTTGGAGGAATATTGAAATATGCTGTTGAGGCACCACGTAAACTTGTCAATGTTAGTGTTGAAGCAACAAAATTTATTACATCACCTAAAGACGATGTTGATCACTTTGAGAAGAAAATTTACAAAGCATTTGGAGTTGATGAAAGAGATATTACACATAAGAAATTTGATAGATATTTGAGTTACTTTAAGGGATATGTAGGGTCACATTTAGGTTATACAATAGAGGATGCTGTAAAATTCACTTGGGAACATGGTATTAATTCCATAGGGCATGCAGGTAGTCAAAACAAAAAGACTAAACCTTACACAGAAGACATTGACTATAAGGATGACTTGCTTTATATGGCAAAAATACATAGAAAAGAATTCTTAGATAAACTTTATGAATATACTATTGGTAAGAAAGCAATGCCAGGAAGAAGTAAGGCTGATGAGAACCCATATAATAAGCCGAATAATGCACCACCGAATAAGCCAGGTAGTCATGAAGATTTAAAAGATTTACAAAGAAGACCCTCTTTAGACGATGCGGAGGCTAGAAGGAAGCGTGCTGAAGAAGAAGAAAAAAGAAGAAGAGATGAAAAAATGTCAGGCCGTGAGTAATAGTGATGCTAAATAACAAAAAAAACTTTAAAGGATTTGGTTATTATGAATTGCAGCAAGATGATGAGGGTAATATAAAACTAAGTGATTATAATGATGTTATAAATGCGCGCAGAGCAAGAATAGATATGTTATTGGATAACATTCAATCGGATGATATCAACTTCATTAAGCTTAATGAAGCTTTGCATGAGAAGCTCATAGGTGATCAGGAATTATTTGATGCAGAAGATAAAAAGATTGCGCAAGAAAAAAGTAAGATATTTAGTATTCTAAATAATCTTAGTGATCTTTCAAGGATTGAAAGCAAGGATTTATTGACAGTCAGTCTATTATTATCAGATCTGAGCTATGTAGAGAAAAATATCGTACTGCAAGATTTAAGTGAGTTAAAGAGTCTGTTTGATGAGAAAAAAGTATCCGGTGAAGATTATACTGATGAGGATTACAGAGATCTTGCTGATTACCTTGATAAGATTAATAATATAATTAAGTTAGAGTTAAGTGATAGGATTGAAAGCACAAATGAAGAGATCATTGAATAAATTCTACATCACCAGTCATAAATACATTATCTGTCCACTCGATAGATAAATTACCTCCAAGAAAGTTCACCGAAGTCTGTTGAGCAGTAATATATCCGCGTAGTACAGATGCAACAAAAGCTGCACAAGCTGCACTACCGCACGATGCAGTAATACCTGTGCCCCTTTCCCAGACCTGCAAATTTATTTCTCCTGATTTGTCTATTTGTGCAATGCTGACATTAGTTTTCTTAGGAAATAGTATATGGGTTTCTAGCTGTGGTGCTAAGTTTAACAATGGTATCTTATCTATACTATCAACAAAAAAGATCATATGAGGATTACCAATATTGACTGCAACTGGATCTTTTAATACTCCAAGTTCTATCGGTAAGTGGAGAGTATCGCATTCAGTTGATAGAGGAATTTCATACCACTTAAGTGACGGTTTCCCCATATTGATTTTGATGGATTTATTACCTGCTTTAAAGCATTCTAAAATCCGTTCATTCATCAGTTCAATAGTTGCATATTCAGTACCTTTTTCCAGCATGATCAAATATCCCACACAACGTGCTGCATTTCCACACGTTTCAACTTTACTACCATCAGCATTATAAATATGCATAAAACAATCTGCAACATTGGAATTAGTGACAACTATAACTTGATCACAGTTACTGTTATTAGCTATCTTTTTATAATCCCGATTTACATTATCTACTAAACGTGAATCTATGATGACGAAGTTATTACCACTGCCATGCATTTTTGTTAACAGTTGCCACATCATTAGACTTTTTTCAAATTCAACTTATGGTAAGAAATTTTTAGGAGAAGTGCAAGTGAGCACCGCAGTTGAGAAGCACATCGACAACAAAATTATCATCAGAAATTGAATTGTGAAAGGAGCTCATCCCAAGCTAAAAACTTTAAACTAGGTGGACATAACTTTTGGATTTTAAGAATTAAGTAAACCTTATTTGAGTTAGCTATACCATCTCTCTGCTTTCTCCTTCATCCAACCCTTCCATTGCCTTTTTCCTTAAATCGTAACTATATGCTGCTAGCATTCAATCCTCTCTATTCACTAAATCCATATTTTATCACATTCGCTCTATTAAGGAAAGAGCTATACTTGCTTTTTCATACTTAATGCTCAAAACAATCTTCTAATAATTGTGATATATCTAATTGCTTTTTCATACTTAAAGCAATATGCTACTATCGTTTAGTTGCTTGGTATAACACAATCTTTCCCCACTAGAGCAACTAAACACTATTCTATACTACAACAACGTTTATAGCACAGGCAGAGAAGTGATTTTATAAAATAATCTATTGACATGCTTATACTGACACTTGTATAATCACCCCATGCCCTGGTATGTTTAGCATACAACCTCACTTTATACTATGTTGCGGTGATTTTCACCAGTATAC